GGACAGATGGACGCAGCGGGCTAGGGCAGGGTGGAGACATCCCCCCAAGATCTCCCACCCTCGGGGCTCTCGCGGTCGAGACGTAGGGGGAACCGGGGGGAGAGAAGGTAAGAATTATGGGGGGGCGGGGCACCATACGAAGAAGGAGGAGCCTTCGGACACGGAGGAGGAGCCATCTGTGCAGTGGGCGGGGTTTAATGGAGGTGGGTGGAGTTTGGTTCTCCGTAGGGCCGCCTCTTTCTGGGAGTGGGTCTGGTTTGAAACTGAACAGGAGGAGCCTGTGGGAAAAGGGGCGGAACTTTTAGTGAGGTCCGGGATCTTAGGAAATTATCCGAAGGTGGGGGGTTCGAAGAGGCGATCAACTTGGAAAGTGGGCCAATCCGTGACGCAAATCCTTTAGTCCCGCCCTCAACCCCGCCCCCCTCTGCTCAGCTCCTCGGCTCCTAATTGGCTCTGGTTTCTCCGCCCGCCAGACTTCTTCGCCACTCAGCAGCGGTTTTACAAAGGCGCAAATACCCGGGTGAGGACCTGAACCCTGAAATGAACACGGCCCGGATTGGGCGCCTGTGAACCTTATTTGCATCGGCGATCGGGATTGGCTGGCCTCTAGGGGCGCTCAGATGGTGTTCGTCCGGCGCGTGACAATCCACAGCCATGGCAGGCCTGGGAGTCGCTTTCCGCCGCCTGGGTGCCTTGTCCGGAGCTGGGGCCTTAGGCTTGGCCTCCTACGGGGCGCACGGTCAGGGGGCTGGGGACAAAGCTGGGACTGCTTGGGGCGACCTCTGGGGTCTGGTGCAGGGGCGGAGTCTAAGGGAAGTGCCAGCCCTCCTATTTACTAGACAGCCCGCGCAACCCTAAACCTTTTAAAGTACCCCAGCCGGGTCCAATTGGTCCCACGTAGTGCCCGATGCTTGTTTCCACCAATCGGAAGCTTTGGGGGGGGGGCACCCTTTCTCGCCAGTGTCTATTTGGGACCCGGGGTTGGGGGCGGTCAGGGACTGGGACTGGTAACCTTTGCCTCTTCTCTTCACAGGTGCCCAATTCCCAGATGCCTACGGGAAGGAGGTGAAGTATCTGCATTGGGGCACCCCGACTCACGGGTCTAGAAAGGCACAAAGTTTGGGATCCCTGGGGGAGGGAGGAAGCGCGAATCTCTAGAGCTGCAAGGGCCGAAAACCTGAGGCGTGGGAGCAGGATGGAACCTAAAGGGGGGGGATAGGGGAACGAACTTTCTTCCCGTGTCACCACGGGATCTCAGGCCACTGTGTTGCTTAGGATGTCCCCTCATTTCTCTTTTTCTTGCAGCTCTTTGACAAAGCCAACAAACACCACTTCTTACACAGTCTGGCCCTGTTAGGGGTGCCCCATTGCAGAAAGCCCCTCTGGGTAATCTTCCCCCCTGCCAAACCCCGACGAAGCCCCGCCCACTCCCTCTCAGAATGCCTTGTTCCTTACAGTTTTGTTTCCTGCGCTGTGTCTTCTTCAGGCCGGGTTACTCTTAGCCTCCGGAACGACCTTATTCTGCACCAGCTTTTACTACCAGGCTCTGAGTGGAGACCCCAGCATCCAGACTTTGGCTCCTGTGGGAGGGAGCCTGCTACTCTTTGGCTGGCTTGCCTTGGCTCTTTGAGCTCCCGTTGGTTTAATTACTGAGTTTTCTGGGTAATTTTTTGAGAGATGGAGCGGGAAGGGGATTAAAGGGAATGGCAAATAAACTTTGGAGTCTTTGTTCATCTAACCTCTTGGAGGAGGAAGGGAAGGGATTCAACCTCTGAACTCCCTTCATTTTCTAAGACTTAATCAGTGAACCTTGAGCCTGGGGATTCTGTTCAAGTTGATTTGTTATGACATTCTTTTTTTTTTTTTGAGTTGGAGTCTCACTCTCGCCCAGACTGGAATGTAGTGGCTGCACCCGGCCACAGCAGCCTCGACCTGCTGAGCTCCGGCAATCCTTCCACCTCAGCCTTCCAAGTAGCTGGAACTACAGGCGTGTGCTACCACGCCTGGCTAATTTTTTGATTTATTGTAGAGATGAGGTCTCACCAAGTTGCCCAGGTGGGTCTTGAACCCATGGGCTCAGGCAATCCACTCACCTCAGCCACCCAAGGCGCGGGATTACAGGCTGAGCCACTGAGCCTGGCTGTTATGACATTCTTAAACTGGTGGGCATTGAAGTCAAAGAATGCTTAAAATAATGCATATTCCTACTGAAGTCCTGGAGATCTGTATTTTAATAAACTCATCTTGTGGTTCTGATGCTCACTAGGTTTTGAAGATTGCTGTAGGATAGTGTTTGTTCAGCCCTGTCATGCCACAAATTTATCAAGCTCCCACTCACTAGGAAGTGAGGAAAGGCAGGACAGGAGGAGTGTCACTAGTTATAGAATGCTTTGGGGCGCACAGCAGGGACGGATCATCATGTATTGGGGATCAAAAAATGCCTCACAAGTGCTTGATAGGATCCTTAAAGGAGCTCTATTGTGTGGAGGAAACACAATGAACAAAGAGAACAAGATGGGGAGGGGAGGGATTTGGGGCAACATGAGTCTTTAGTGTGGGCTGTGTTTCTGAGTTAGGCAGGAAAGGGGTGAGAAGAGGTGGCAAAGCAGGCTGGAGTCGCACTTACAGTATGTAGACAACTGGAAGATGTTTGGGCGCAGTATTTATTGAGCCAGTGTTGATCATTTGTCAGACACACATTATAAGGAAGATCAGTCAACCATGAGCAAGACAAATACCATCCTCCATGGAGTTTCCTATCTAGTAGCAGAAAAGGACCTTAAACAACTAAACATGTACATTGTTGCAAGTTGTGCTACATGCTTGAAGAAAAAAACATTAGAACAGCTGGACAGTGGTAGGTGTGCCACTTTAGATGGGAAGGCCTCACCAAGGTGATCCTATTGAAGCTGAACTAACCATGCACACAGTGGAGAGGAAGTGTGTTCTAGGCAGAAAAAAGAGTTGGCAAAACAGGCTGAAAGGAGCAGCTCAAAATCTTGAGGGAGAAAAAAATAGTGAGTTGGCAGCATGGCTGTCATGTAGTTACTAAGGGATCCCGGATGACCTTGCAGACAGTGGTAAGGTGCTTGGAGTCTATTTGCAATGCACTAGTAAGTCATTGAAAGGTTTAAGTCAGCCGGGCTCCGTGGCTCAGCCTGTAATCCTGTGCCTTTGGGAGGCTGAGGTGAGTGGATTGCCTGAGCCCACAGGTTCAAGACCTGCCTGAGCAGGCGAGACCTCATGTCTACAATAAAATAAGAAAATTAGCTGGGCGTGGTAGCGCGCCCCTGTAATTCCAGCTACTCGGAAAGCTGAGGCGGGAGGTTCACCGGAGCCCAGCAGGTGGAGGTTGTGGTAGCCGGGAGTGGCCACTGCACTCCAGTCTGGGTGACCGAGTGAGACTCCAACTCAAAAAGAAAAAAAAAAGAAAGGTTTAAGTCATTCCTTTTTATTATTATTATTTTTTTCTTGGGAGGTATTGCTGTGTTGCCCGGACTGGACTGCAGTGTCTGTTCACAAGCTCAATCAGTCATGGCACACTACAGCTTCAAACTTCTGGGCTCAAATGATCCTCTTGTTTCAGCCTCCCAAGTAGCTAGGACTACAGGCACATACCACCATGCCCGGCTGACATCCTTTTTAATTTCTATTTTTGTATGTGTTTTATAAAGTGCAATCTGTATAATATATTGAGGATGCATACAAAAAGATTATTTGGAGCAAGATGGCAATTTTTCTGATGGTATGCATTCAAAAAAGTGTGCAGACTCTCTAAATGAGATTTTAGGTAATCTCATCCATTTTTGTATCTTTAATCTGCATACTTTTCAATCCATAATTTCTATCAGCTAGCCTAGTCTCTACTGAGCTCCAGACTCCTGTAACATCAGTTTTAAAGGTAGCCCTGAAGCAAGAGAGTGTCTTAAAGACCTGAAAGAATTATTGGTGGCTGGCTTGAGGATTGCAAGAGGGTCAGTAGTGAGAGATAAGGATGGCAGGGACAAATGATGGAGGCTCTTATGCTGAGAGGTTGAACTCTCTCCTGAGGGCAATCAGGAGCCACGTAGCATTTATATCCAGGGAAATGATATGATCTGAGATGGATTAGTACATCACAGTATTGCTTCTTTGTGTGTGTATGTATTATTGAAGTCTTACTCTCACCCAGACTGGAGTGCAGCAGCACGCTCATGACCACTGACTGCAGCCTTGAACTGCTGGGCTCAGGCGATCCTTCCACCTCAGCCTTCCAAGTAGTCGGAGCTACAGGTATGTGCCACCACGCCCAGTTAAACTTTTTATATTTATTGTAGAGATGAGGTCTCACCAAGTTGCCCGGGCTGATCTCAAACCTGTGGGCTCAGGCAGTCCACTTGCCTTGGCCTCCCAAAGTGCTGGGGTTACAGGCTGAGCCACTGAGCCCGGCCTACAATAAATTTTTTTTTAATTGGCTTTAAAGAGAATTTGGGCTGGGCACGGTGGCTCATGCCTGTAATCCTACTACTTTGGGAGGCCAAGGTGAAAGGATTGCTTGAGCCTAAGAGTTTAAGACAAGCCTAGGCAACATAGTGAAACCTCTTTTCTACAAAAAAAAAAAAAAATTAGCTGGGCATGGTGGTGCACGCCTGTAGTCCCAGCTACTCAGGAGATTGAAGCAGAAGGATTGCCTGAACCCAGGAGACTGAGGCTGTGGTAAGCCAAGATTGTGCCACTGCACTACAGTGAGGCGCCAAAACAAAAAGATTATTTGGAGCAAGATGGCAATGAACTGCCTCCACAGGGCTGCTGCTGTGACCAGGACCTCTGAAATTCCATTTTCCATGAGGATGTGAACAAGGCCAAGCAGAGGGCACAAACACAAGGTCTACCATACCTGGTATTGGGAAGTGCCAAACATTGTACTTATTCCAATTAGATATTACTGTGAAATAGGGACAGGATGAAGTCCAAGAAATGTTTATGAAGAATGCCTACATCATAGACTCCAGGGTGGTTGATCTGGTCATTAAGGGTAAAATGGAACTGGAAGAAAGATTTATTTATTTATTTATTTAGTCAGAGTCTCACTCTGTCGCCCAGACTGGAGTGCAGTGACCGCTCCCGGCCACTGCAGCCTCCACCTGCTGGGCTCCGGTGATCCTTCCGCCTCAGGCTTCCAAGTAGCTGGAACTACAGGTGCGTGCTACCACACCCGGCTAATTTTTTTGATTTATTGTAGTATCACCAAGTTGCCCAGGCGGGTCTCGAACCCACGGGCTCAGGCAATCCACTCACCTCAGCCTCCCAAGGCGCAGGATTACAGGCTGAGCCACCCAGCCCAGCTTGGAAGAAAGATTTAAAGTATGGAAGCAGCAGACACATGCTATGCTGCACTTCCATGAAACAATAGCACCAAGGTCAAAGGATTTCCTTTTTGAAGCCACCCAATGGAAAGGTGCATGTTATTTCATTATTTTAGAGCACAAATCAGCTCATTATATGATGGTTACTTCATGATAGACTTCCAGTAGTGAACCAAATTTTATTTGTTTTGTTTTTTGTTTATTGAATTGAGATGAGGTCTCACCAAGTTGCCCAAGCAGGTCTCGAACCCGTGGGCTCAGGCAATCCACTCACCTCAGCCTCCCAAGGCGCGGGATTACAGGCTGAGCCACCGAGCCTGGCTAGTGAGCCAAATTTTAAAAAGATAATTTGAGGCAGTATGTTCAGTGTTATAAGCAGATACTGAGCTGGGTTTGTTTTGCCTTTGGGGACTGGTAAGACTTCAGTTCATTTGCTGGGTTTTCAGCATGAGTAGGAGTTCACCAGAAAAAAGGAAGACCATGCTGGTAACAGTCAAGAGCAAAAACAGGAGCACCTAGAGGCCAGGATTGAGTGGGCAGGCAGGAAATAAACAGACTAAAAGTGGGATGCACAGTGTGCAGAAGGGTCTCCTGGACCAAGCCTGAGTCAACTTTGACTTCTCTCTCCCTCATATCCTACATCCAAGCCATCATCAAGTCCTGTTGGCTCAAATACATACCTGAAATCTGTATCTTACCACCTCCATGGCTATAACCTTGGCCCCTGGTCCAAGTCACCATATCTCACCTAGATTTCTGTAAGAATTTCTTTCTGCCCTTGCCTGCCTACAGTGTACTTTTTTTTTTTTTTGAGTTGGAGTCTCACTCCATGGGCCAGGCTGGAGTGCAGTGGCATGCTCACAGCCACCCCAGCGTCAACCTGCTGGGCTCAGCCGATCCTTCTGCCTCAGCCTTTCAAGTAGCTGGAACTACAGGCACTCACCACCATGCCCGGCTAATTTTTTGATTTATTGTAGAGATGAGGTCTCGCCAAGTTGACCAGGCTGTTCTTGAACCCATGGGCTCAGGCAATCCCCTTACCTCGGCCTTCCAAAGTGCTGGGACTACAGGCTTGAGCCACCGTGCCTGGCCTTCAGTGTACTCTTGATAAATCAGCTTGAAAAAAAAATCTTGCAACATAGTAGTCCTCAATCTTGACTGCACATTAAAATCTAAGGAATTTTCCAGCCTGGGCAATATAAAGCGCTACAAAAAATTTTGTAAGCCGGGCTTGGGGGCTCAGCCTTTAATCCCAGCGCTTTGTGAGGCTGAGGTGAGTGGATTGCCTGAGTCCGCAGGTTTGAGACCTGCCTGGGCAACTTGGTGAGACCTCATCTCTAC